AGGCGCCCCAAGAGTCGTTCTAACGGGGTTAAAAAATTTAAATTCTTTATTGGGAATATTTGCACTAGCCAAAGTACAGTGATTTCCATTCACACGCGTCGGCATTACAATTAGAGGCGCTAACATCAATAAGCGCATTACAAGGGTGCCTCATATCTCGTATGGTATGCTCGTGCACACACTTATCCTCTAAAATTTGAAATTTTTTTCAAACCATAATTCATCATAAATTCTAAAGATCTCCCACTCTGAATTTCATTGTGGCACAAACACTGATAAGCGAATTACAGGGGTGCCCTGTATGGTATGACCGTGCACACCCTCATCCCCTAAAATTTTAAATTTTTTTCAAACCATAATTCATCATAAATTCTAAGGATCTCCCACACTGAATTTAATCGTGGCACAAACACTGATAAGCGAATTAAAGGGGTGCCCTATATGTATGGTATGTCCGTGCACCCCCTCATCCCCTAAAATTTCAAATTTTTTTCAAGCCATAATTCATCATAAATTCTAAAGATCTCCCACTCTAAATTTCATTGTGGCACAAACACTGATAAGCGAATTACAGGGGTGCCCTGTATGGTATGACCGTGCACACCCTCATCCCCTAAAATTTTAAATTTTTTTCAAACCACAATTCGTTATAAATTCTAAAGATCTCCCACACTGAATTCCATCGTGGCACAACCACTGATAAGCGAATTACAGGGTGGCCCTATATGTATTTCTATGTGTGTGCCGCCTGCATGAAATTACGGTTCGAACTAAAATCGTTGCTGGTAAATCGTTGCTGTCTTCACACCGGTACTGTTTAGGTATACCAGATATCAAAAGTTATTAAATCCAAATCTTACTGTTTATTTTTTTACGTCTCGAGTGTAAGCTAAGGAAGTATTGTAATCAAGTTCATCGGGCGACTGGCTACTTTTATGGCTTCTCAACGTTTCATGACCCCTATAATACGAAAACATGGGTCTCTCGTTTCCGGTTGATAAAACGCTGACCAACATTTGTAATCATCCTCCCCATCATATAACGTCATCTCCAACTTTTACAGCAGTAAATGTTATATAAATTTAAAAAAATAACATACTTTTTCATTTGTTGTTCATTGAGTTTTTACCCTAAGCATCCAGATTGAATTGAATTACCATAACTCTAATTTCTTGAGATTTTGGAAATAGGATGTACTACATAAAGAAAATTAAAAGAATTTGAAGTAATATAATGATACTCTTTTTACATCAACATACTATTACTTATCAATTAATTGGGCATTGTCCAAAATACTGTTCATAAATTATAAGTGCAGGAAGTTTATGCAAAAGCATGCAAATACATTTTTTGCGTTTAATAATATGTATTGCTTTATTATTAAATATCTACTCATTTACAAGAGTTATTAAAATTACTAAAAAAAGTATTCAAGTCTCTGTCTAGTTTAATACCTTACCTTATTAAAATAATAAGTTTAATCAATTATGTAGTTAGCAAACAATGACGTTTAATTTATACTTAGTAGGGTTCACGACAATAACTTTTCACATTGCATGTTTAATTCGGACTTATAATTTAAGAATATAATTTAGTCGTTTATTTATTTTTGTAGTTTAGTAGTACTTGGCAATTTCAGAAAACTGTATGTCATTTAAAAATACGTGACAAATCACGAGGCCAGGCAATCTAGAGATCTGAGTGCTCCGGTGCTCCATGGTTTGCGCGGGAAATACTGCATACTTTTTAGATAAAAGGAGTCTATCATAAGCGCACGTAGGAGATGCTAGACAGAGAGCTAACGTATTGGAAAGAAATAGGACAAGTTTACGTGCGCACACCACAGCCTCCCTTTCTCTTCTGAACAGTTTGGGATCATACCATAGTACCATAAATAATAATTGACAAAGAGTTCGCAAAGGAACAGTACAAATAATTCTTTCATTTTCAACTGAAAAGCCTATAATTATATTAAGTACTAGATATTATAGAGTTAGGGGTAATCAAATAGATTTGGGTTGCAGTCAACATAATTGTCACTGATACATAAGACATGGAAACGAATAATTTATTTCCAAATCCAAATATACTGCATTTACAATTTTAAACAGTATCACTGCTAATTTTCTCTGGTTGCCGGACAATAGCTACTTGTAGTCAATATCCACGTAATGTAATAAAATACTGGAATCTAATTGTTTGAGACAACAACAACCTATTTTTACCCGAGTGTGTGTTCTTTATCAGTTTGAATATTTTATATAAAAAAATTACATATTAAGCTGCAATTTTAGTAGGACTGCAACGAGTCAATGAGCCGCCTCTACTCCGCCAATGCAAAGAAAATATCATTTTATTATCCTTTGTAAAAATAATTCCTTTCTGTAAAGCATATTTAAATTTGGTACTCCGTATTTCGTTCACAATTCACCATTTAAGAATGGAAATTAACAATGCAATATTTGGGTTCTACAATTTTTAGGTAAAATGAATGACTGCAATGAGTTTTATCAAATGTAGATTTTATATAAAAATAAAGAAAAACAAATCTCTTTATTTTAAAAATATTTAGAAAAAATCGAATCAAAACATCAATAACTTAACATTTATTGTTGGTTATACTTAGTTAACTACTTCACCACGCGATTTCTAATATCGTTTCAATTTTTCATTTTTTTCAAATTATTAGTCCTTGCCGTATTACTTGTTCTGCGCGTGAAGTTGATTAAGAAATCTTAATCTTAATTATCTCTTAAAAATGTATCTATTATCTGTAATTATTGATGTGGAAATATCATTTCTACAAATAAGAATACAGGTATGCAGCATTATGAATTTTGTTGTAAAATTTTAGAGAAAATAAGTTCAATCATTCCCGAGAAACAATTGAATAAAAATGTTGCTGTTAAGTAAAAAATTAAATTATTTGTTTAACGAGCAACAAATCTATTTGAAATTAAAATTTGTAAAATTTCGAATCTAATAATTGGAAACTCAATCTTTCTAAAAAAAAAATCGAAAGTATTTGTAACATCTACAACAAAAAAAAAAGAGTTGCACAAATTACAGTTTTTTTAATTTCAGATTCATCAAAATTGTTAAGTCACTTTTTGTTTATTTCACATTATGGATCATTCCCATAATGTGAAATCTTAATCAACTTCACGCGTTCTGCGCGTGAAGTTGATTAAGATTTCTTTCCCAACCCCAAACTTAACGCTGAAACGCAAAACAGCAAGCAAGTAGGTACGTAAAAACGGATAACGGTACTGTATCGATTTCTGCTTGGACATGGGGCAAATCATCACTCAATCTAAACTATGTTTCGCTTCGCCCAAGTGCGACATGCGGCAAATCTGCACTAAACAGCAGAGGCGAAAATCCCTCGAACGCGGTTTGGTCTATGCGCCAAACCAGTTCTCAGGTGACAAAGAACGATTTGAAATGCAATATACTTTTCACAATCGCACGGAAGAATTAGTTTTGTATGGCACGTCAGTTAGACGACAGGTCCGTCAGGAACACCAACTATTGAAATTAATTCGAAGCGACGATTCCTATACAAAATTTTCAGAATTTTTTGATTTTTTAGCTGTTCTTTTAAGTTTTCGGTATTTTTTTTATTTATAAACCATCCCCGTAATATAAAAAATTCTTCAAATCGATCAAGCCGTTTTTGAGTTTTAGCGAAACTAACAGGAACAGCAATTGATTTTTATTATATATAGAAGATTAAAAAATGGGGGTTAAATCTTAAAAGAATAAAAATAAAAAATTTTGTCAATAAATAAACAAACAATTTTTAGGGTGGGCCACCCTTATCGCTTAGGGGCATTAAAAATAGTTTACAACCTATTCTCAGACCTGCCGAATATACATAATAAATTTCATACAAATCGGTCAACCCGTTTCGGAGGAGTTCGGGTATAAACACTGTGATGCGAGAATTTTATACATAATGCATTATTATTTTAGAACAAATTTCATTACCATAAAAAAGGTTATAGTGAGTCGACCTTAAAAGATAGACACATGCTGTCCGGGACTTTTCTTTAGAACTTTTAGAGGGGAACAATTTCGACCTACCTGATTTTTACGTAACTTTAACCGTTTAAGCAACGTAAGCAACGGAAGATGTCAAAGGAGGAATAATTTTCCCGTTTTTCCGAATTTTTCATTGCTACTTCGCTCCTATTGATCGTAGCGTGATGTTATATAACCTATATGTCGATACAATACATGGACTATCCAACACAGAAAGATTTTTTGAATTCGAACCAGTAGTTTCTGAGATTAGCGCGTTCAACCAAACAAACTCTTCAGCTTTATAATATAAGTATAGGTACTAACTGGAAATGACAGGGACACACTTTTCACGCCAACGGTGCCTTTCGTAGCGACTTTAAAAAAATAAAGAACACACAGCACCCTGTGTGTTCTTTATTTTTTTAAAGAACACACTTTTTCACCAAAAAGGCAACGGTGAGGAGTGATAGAATTATGAAAACAGTAGGAATAAATTTAAATCATGTAGTATTGTACTTGACAGTAAGAAATAAGTTGAGTGAAAAGAACATGTACTTGCAAAAAGAGTCTTAAAAACAAGAATAACAAGTAGATTGCCTATTAATAGCAATTCCCAAAACACCAATCGATAGAAGGCACTGATGTAAAAATTAATAATAAATTCCAATAATAAACCATGAAATTCTTTGGTGGAAGTTACGAATTCACACAAGCACGTACGCACGGTCAACATAATCACGAAATAAATTTTGTAATTAAATGTGAACGAGTACTGCTGTAAAATATTTATTTTTTAAATTTAACACAACAATGCCTTCTTATGCACCTTTGGAGTGGAGAAAAAATAATTTACGCGGCAACATATTTGAAAGATTAATTTTAAAAGATTCATTAAAAAATGAATAAAAACAACCAAAAACAAATTTTAAAAGAACAAACTTACGAAAAACATAATGAATTTAAACAATATATACCAAAATACTCCTAGGAGAGTATAATGCGCGACACATAAAACCCTTAGTCTTCTTTCCGCTTTTGGAATGGTGTCTAGCGATTCGTTGAATAAGTAACTTCTCGCACCCCTTACAAGATGATACCCATAATCTATAAAATCAATATTTTCCATATTGAAACAAAACTGTATTTTGTCTGCATCGTTCATATCATTCCACAACTCCATAACATTACGATCATCAAATTTCCAACTTTTCATGCCAAAATAAGCAAGCAGATCCAGTGTGGTATTCAGTCGTCGATATTTCTCTACCGCCCTAAAAATTTACAAATAAAGTCTTTTCCTTCAAATTAAACTGCAGTTACAGTGTAGGTCTTCTTAGACACAAAAGAACAAAATCTACCATATATGCTGTCACTGTGTGTAGAAAGAAAACACAAAATTTATGCCAAAGCCTGTTTTTCCTAACCTTAAACCAAAAGTACCACAAGACTTTCTCGGATGGAACTTTCCAACCCTGTTGCTCTATAACTTTCATATATTGTCCTGGAATTGAAATGTTATTTATTTTTTATGTCCATAATCATCAAATAAATGCCAGTTTCACCCCATGTGATTTGATTGTTTTCGTGCCCAACAAAATTGTAAATTGTTGTTGTGACGGAATTCTCTCTTTTCCAAGCGGCAGCCAAAACACAATTGGATACATAATCCACCGGTACCAACTGTGCCCGAGAGTTTGGGTTGGCGTTCATGGATCTGATGACACCCAAGGCGGCACCCGCACTGATCCCAACCACTCCATAAAAATTGTCGATCCATCCCGGCATGGGTTCGGCTATGGTGCTGATGACTACAAATGTCCCACAGTGAAAAAGTTTGCAAAAGTTAATGCTCACCAATAGCCGGACGCACAATAGTTATTGGCAAATCTGCACCTATTGTTTTGATAAGATTTTCTGAGATACTTTTAGTGTAAACATAGGTGTTTGGCCATGTGTTTAGGAACCTGTTTAAAAGTAGTTAATAGGGTATCACATGGAACTACTCCAGGATCATCATTGTCACCTACTGAGGAGTAATAGCCTGCAAAGTGTCATCGTCGAGAATATCCACTAGCTGCAACAACTTTTCCGGTTTCATTGGTGGCTCATAGAATTGTTCTGTGATATGAGAGTGAACACAGTTGGAAAACGCAGTCGAAACAAAAACAAAAACCTACAATTTTTGTCTATTATATTGAATATAATAATTTTTGTCCGGATTCACTCTTAAATTTAGCATTTTCTTCGCTAATTCTAGCAAATCTCTTGTTGCTCTAACATAATAAGCGGCTTCTTTAAGAGGTTGATCAAATTTAACATTAGCTGCAGCATGGATGACGCATGTTGTTTCTTTTAATAAAATGGCAACATCTTGCTCAGTCAGCCCCAAAAAAGGCTCATTACAGTCGCCATGAACCAAGGAAACTTTTTGCAAAGGATTTATATGTTTCGATTTCAGCAAGTCGAAACACTAGAAAAACAGTTATGAGGAAGAAATACTTCTACCAGGACTTACCGGATAGCTGAAAAGATCTTGAAATCGTTGCTCTGGGGTTTTCTCCTTTTTGGGACGTATCAGGACGTAAATTTTTTTTATGTCTTCACATTCCCGTAGTAATTTTTCGATCAAAATTTTGCCCAAGAACCCCGAACCGCCCGTTAAAAAAACAGTTTGATTTTTGAAAAATTCTTTGATTTGACTGCTTGAGCCCATTATGTAAATTATGTAAAATTATTTGTTATATATAAAGCTTGCCACTTGTATTATAAAAGTGATAACAAACTGAAACTATTACTATACCTAGTGTAAACTAACGAAGTTTTGGGAATTTTGTGATTTATAACGGTAACTGAAATTGTAATAAATTAAAATAGCTTTGTCACGATCATGCATAACAAAACAAAAGAATTTTCCTACGAAGATGATCACAACAAAACTAACGCAGTTGCATTCATCCGGGTTAAGGGTTAACCGTATTGAAAACAAATTAAATAGGTTATGAATTAGCAACAATGTTGCATATGTAGAGTTGCCTTGATTCCGAGACAGCACACCAATAAACTTGCACAGATGACAAAATTGCAAACGAATTGTCTTTACATTTAAGAAATGGCCACACTCAGTAGGATACGTCAGATGTGTTACTTGTGTTCAACATTCAAGGTTTTGATGATACTATCTCAAAATTTTGCACAGTAAATGCTATTTAAATTGTATAAAATAATTTGCTAGGAAGCGTTTCATTTGAAAAATTATAGAATGGAACCTTATCTCGGAAGAAACTTTACAAATAGAGAAAGAATTTTTAGTTACAATTTGTCTAGGTCCAGGGAAATTATTGAAAGTACTTTCGCAATATTAATTGCCAAATTTCGAATATTAGAAACAAATAGATATTGTACAGTAAGCATTCATTTAGTTATTGTAGAGTAAGCGTTAAGTTACGAAATACTAATATAGCATAAGTCAGCAACTAACATAGGATAGGAAGTGATAATTTATAAGCAGTCACGAATGTACATCCGTAGTGAATAAATGGGTTTAAAAGGTTAAGGGTGTCTTCTTCAAATGGTCCCATCAAAATAAATCAACATTTATTACATGGCGACCCTGCCATTCAAGATCCTGTCATCGAAGAATTCTTTTCGTAAAAAGGACACAACCGGAAAAAAATGGGTACGCAGCAATCCAAGGAAGACATTGTCATAAACAGCAATGCTGGCGAGGTCCAGAACTCAGTATCAGCAACCCCCGAAAATTTAACGTTGCACGAGATCACGACAATAACTATCGTAGTGATCTTAGTCGGATTGTTTGCCGTGTTTGTGGGAAAGATTTACAAGAAATGGTTGGACAAGAAAATTGTACGAGAGATTGGGAAATTCCAAAGCCAGGAAGCAGTCTAAGAGGAAAACAACAGTGATGCCACCCATAGCAGCAGAAGTCAGTTACCACAACCATATTCGTCGGGAACCCGTCCCAAGGAGCCCTACCAGCGTTCCTTCCTGCTCCACGTACTTGCGGAATCAACAGCAGATCAACGTGGGAGAAGATGGTGTCAAAGTAAGTGTAATTTGGTGCAAACAGATTAATTACTAGTGGTGGATTAATGACTTTGATGATCGATAGTAAATAAGTAAAATAAGTTAAAAAACTGGCTATGAGTTCCAATATTGAACTATTCAAACAATTACTTGAGGAATTACGAGTGTTTTCGCGAAACCTTGTTAAAGATTCGCACGAAAGACGGACGGATATTCAGAAGGTGACTAAAAATAACGTGAGAAATTAGACAAGCTTACGGAAAGTTTTGAGACGTTAAAGACAAATTTCAATAAAGAAACTCACAACCCTGAAACCATTAGTAAAGTCAAAATTTACGTAGGTAATATTGTTAAATTAATTGACGAAATAGACAAGGTTTTACAAGATAGGTTAAATAATATTAGTGTAGAAAATAACAGAGAAAGGCTCTCAACAATGACGGAAAAATTCAATTTAAAGACCGCAACGAGCTTGTTGCCTTTGATGAATGGTAACGAAAGTGTCACTAAACAGCTGATTGATGCCATAGAACTGTATGATTCGTTGCTAGACAATGATGGGAAACAAGCTCTTACTAACTTGTCCTTAAAGCTAGGTTAACAGAAAGCGCGAAAATTAGGTTAAAGAATGTGTATGCTTCAAATGCTCTTTTAGTCCAGGATATGAGACGTTTCTTACTGACTACAAAGTCAGCCGCATCTTTATCCACACAGTTTGTTCAAATTAGGCAAAATAAAATGTCGATTGAGGATTTTGGGAAAAAGATCGAAAATTTACTCGTTGAGCTGACGATTGCTCAAGCCGACGGAAATAGTGAGGGACTCCAAATCTTAAGAGAAACAAATGAAAAGTTGGCTATAAATGCGTTTGCAAACGGTTTGCAGAATCCTGAGCTTCGCACTATCATAAAAGCACGAAATTATTCAAAATTAAATGAAGCGATCCGTGGATCTAAAGACGAAGATGCTTCCACACAGTCTAGTAGAGTTTTTAGTTTGCGTAGAGGAAATTATCATAACACAGTCAGAGGCAGTAATCATAACTATAGAAATAATCAAGGATCGAATTACGGAAATTTTAATAGGCATAATAGTTCCTGTAGTCGGGGAAATTTTGAAAATTATCAAACGCGGAATCCACAAATACAATTCCAATCTAGATCAAATAATTTTGGAAGTCGTGGTAACTACAGAGGCACAAACTACAGAGGTCTTAACAACAATAAAAGTAACAATAATAACAGATATAACGGCAGGCATGAATATAATAACACAAGTTATAACAGAAACCACCATTCGCGAGGTTATTTTATGTCAAATTCGGAAACCGCCAATACAAGCACAAATAGTGAAAATAATAAGTCATCGTTTTTTCGTGAATCAAGCCACTAATTGCAAACTTGATGATGCAGCAGTTCTGAATGTAGATGGTCTAAATTATGTGAAATTAATACATGGGGAGAATGAATTAAAATTTTTATTAGATTCAGGAGCGTCAGTTAGTGTTATTTTTCCAAATTCTAAATTAATAGAATGTCAGTTCATTGATCGAAACAGGAAAATTGCAATAAACGGAATTGCAGGTTCAACAATTTCCCAAGGTGCATGTGAGTTAAAGTTAAAGGTAAATGACATAGAGTTCAATCAAGAATTTTTGTTGATAGATAAATTTGCAAGCGGAATTGATGGAATAATAGGTTCAAATTTCTTTACTAAGCATAATGCGATAATTGATTACGAAAAGTACTTGTTTTCATTTTATGTTGATGACTGGAAAATTGCAATACCAATAGAGTCAAGTTACGAAGTTTATGCGGAAATACCGGCTAGGTGCGAAATTATAAAATATTGCTACGTCAAAGATGACGACAAATATGTAGTCTTTCCGGAAGAATTATGTCAAGGAGTTTATGTAGCAGCCGCATTAACAAAGTCAAGGTCAAGTAAAATTCCAGTAAAAATACTTAATGTTACAGAGATGAAGACATAAAAATTAAAAATTTTAAACCTAAATTGGAAAAGTCAGTTGATTATTACATTTTTAATTTTGACAACAATCCACAATCGGTAAATAGGGTAGATAGGTTATTAAATAATTTAGATATGACAAATTTGAATAAGGAAGAGGAAATGTCAATTCAGAAAATATGCGCCAAGTATTCAGACGTTTTTTATCTTGAAAACGATCCACTTACAGTGACCAACATTTATAAACAGAGTATTAAGTTGCAAAACAACACAACACCTGTTTATAGAAAACCGTACCGCCTTCCCCAATCACAAAAAAGTGAAATACACACGCAAATTGACGAAATGTTGAAAGATGGGATAATCGAAGAGGCCAAGTCTTCAGCATGGTCCTCTCCATTATTAATTTTTCCGAAAAAATCTGGTCCTAATGGTGAAAAGAAATGGCGAATTGTAATCGATTATCGTGAGTTGAATAAACAAATTGAAGACGATAAATTTCCTTTACCATCTATCATTGAGATTTTGGATTCATTGTCAGGAGCTGTGTATTTCTCACATTTAGATCTGTCCCAAGGATTTTATCAAATTGAAATTGATCCAGAGAGTAGACCGTGTACAGCATTTATTACCGACAGAGGTCATTATCAAATGAAGCGTCTGCCAATGGGATTAAAAATTTCTCCTTCAAGTGTTTCTAGAGCCATGACAATAGCTATGTCGGGACTAAATTACGAAAGTTGCTTTGTATACTTGGATGACTTAATAGTTTTTAAAAATTTAATCAAAGTTTTCGAAAGAATGAGATCAGTTAATTTAAAATTAAATCCAAACAAATGCGAATTTTTAAGGAAAGAAATTTTGTATTTAGGACACGTAATTTCAGCTAATGGTGTATCGCCCGACCCAAACAAAATTAAATGTATTCAAAATTTTCCAATACCGCGAAATGCTAACGATGCAAAAAGATTTGTAGCTTTTGCGAACTATTACAGACGATATATTAAAAATTTTGCTGACATAGCAGCACCATTGAATAAATTGAGCAAGAAAAATGTACAATTTAATTGGAATGAGGAATGTCAAATTTCTTTCGAAACATTAAAAAACTCTCTAATAAAACCACCAATTTTGCAATATCCAAATTTTTCCGAAACAAACACTTTTATTTTAAAAACGGATGCTTCTTCCATTGCATTAGGAGCCGTACTTTGTAACAGAGATGATAAACCAGTTGCTTTTGCTAGTAGAACACTCAATGCAGCCGAATCAAAATACTGTACGATAGAAAAAGAATTATTAGGAATCGTATTTGCAGTAAAACATTTTCGTCCATATTTATTTGGAACAAAGTTTATTATCCACACTGATCACAGACCGTTAGTGTACTTATTCGGAATGTCAGATCCATCTAGTCGTTTAACAAAATTTAGATTAACTCTTCAAGAATATGATTTCACAATCAAGTATATAAAAGGAAAGGACAATGTAGTAGCAGATACTTTATCGCGTATAGAGATAACATCAGACGAATTAAAACAAATGGGAAACGGTGTATCCGAAACCATTTCTGCAATAACTCGAGCGCAAAGCAAAAATAAAAAACCTGAAAATCAAAACGTTGAATCGGTTTCATATGACAGACTTGATCACCCTGGAATAGTGGAGCTGATAAAACGTCCATCACAATCATTTGAGTTA